CTGCACTACTCAGAATTAAACACAGTTCAATTCATGGCAGAAGTCTAGAGGTGAGGTGGCAAATAGGCCTTTCATTTGCCGCCTAAAGAAGGAAACTGGCCGGGATCTTCAATAGCCGGTATTGCTCTAGAACTGTTGCCTCCACTGTAGCCACCTCTTGAGCCACGCCCACGGCCTCGGCCACGACCACCGGGACTATAGTACCTTTCACCCTCAGCAGGCTTCAAGAACTCGTTGATGCTAACAGACTGCAAAACCCGAGAAGACTTTTAAAATACAAGGGACGTTATCTTAATGTTTTGAAATAATTCTACTAATTTTGGGGTTGAACTTTAATCTCGATTTCCTTCTATTTTTCTTAGTTGACAATTGAATCCAGTATTGTAGAATAGCCATGCTACCCACATGAGAGTTTTGTTATCTATATTTTTTTTGTAATGGGAAGTGATCTTAACTTAGATACAAGGAGATATGATACATTAATGAAGCTTTTCAAGAGCAACTATAATGAGGGAACGTATTCGTATCATCTTCCAGAGAGTATGTCTGCTGGTATGAAGAGTGAAATATGTTGTGTACCATTGGCCATGGAAAACAATGTATTATGCAGATTAAAAGAGACCCCCAACACCTGGTCGGCTGTACGAATTTTGACAAAATTGACAATAAACTGAGCAGAATTGTGAGTACCTTTTTGGCTCTCTCTTCTTTCTCAGCTAACTCCTTTTTCTTATCCTTTTCAGAGCCCTGCAAAAAATTAATCACATCAATAACGAAAAAAAGTTCGGACCTTAACTTATATATTTAAAGCAGAGACAATCACGACATAGACAATCAAGACAGTGACAACCACTAATTCATTTAGTAGGGAGTTAAATGTATTCACCAGTTTGACGAATATATCATCATTAGCTTTCTTGTTTGAAAGTGGTTGCATGGATTCAAACTCTTTTGTGTCAACCTTCCTCTCCTCAGTTTTAAGGGCCACTAAGGCCTTCCTTTTCTCCTCCAGAAGCTTCTCATACTCTTCCAATGTCATCTCCTGCAGTTTGAATGAATTGGTTATCTCGGGCAAACTCAAAGTCAATTAACAAACTGATACGTTGTGACAAGTAAATTTATTTAGTAACCATTTTTTCACACGAGAAATGCTACGTTGCCAACCTAGTGTACAACTAGGTTGACAACAGAAGTAAAAAACATTCATAAAAATAAAAATAAAAAATACACAAGTGGATGTTTCCAATTGTGTTGTCAACCAAGTTGTACACTAGGTTGGCTATCTTCATTTTTCTTTTCACAAACCCACTGAGGTGTTGTAACAATCAACTTCACATCATACACAACAATAAGGCTACAATATGTATTCTCACTTAGGTTCAACCATTAATTGTAATGAATTTTGCATTTGTCCAGCTCATTCATCTAGTATTTAAGGCACCTAACAGGAAATAGCTGCATTCTCTAAAATAAAGGCAACGACAGTAAATAAAAATAAAGTAGAGATCATTATATAAGATTACATAAATTGCTTCACCTTATCCTCAGGTTCCTTCTCTTCAACTTCATTTGCAGCAGCTTCCTTGTCTCCATCAGCTGCAACAGAAACCTCTCCCGAGGGCTTCTCCACATCCACTGTCTTCTCACCTTCATTGACAACTTCCTCGGTCACTCTAAAACAACAAAGACAAAAGTTAATAGCCAGACAAGATGTAGGTAAGGAAAACATATACAAATTCATGGCAGTGTCGACAAATTCTATCTCAACAAAGGGAATACTCACTGTGTGAGTTCATCAGTCTGTGTTCCCCAGTTACCTCGGCCAGCTCCCTCGCGTTTGATTTCATTTCTGTGCACAAAATGGGTAAGCACTAAGCAACTTACAATATGGATCTAGTACTAAAAAATGTCCATGCATAAATAACATATATATGTGTATGTGTACTCAACAGAGAATATATAATTCATACCCACGCCCAGTTCCACTACGCCTCTCATATGGCCTGCGAGCATAATCACGGAATTCTCCATCTCCATTGCTGAAACCACCCTGGCGGCCACCACGTAAGGGCCCACGGGGCCCACCATAGCCACCACGCCTTTCATATGGTTTTCCAGAATCAAACACATCTGGGCCACCCTGACCAACAGATATTTCCCTATTGCCATACGAATTCTCATTGGAGGCAGAGTCTCTGTAAGATCCACTGCCGCCACCACGACCACGCCCGTAGCCACGGCCACCACCTCGTGCCGATTCTGATTTTGCCTCTCTTACTAAATTGAGATAGAAGCATTGAAGTGTGAGACAATTAACGGGCAGGTCAGAACATGCTTTTAGATTAATCAAATAGACATTCTAAATAAAAATTAATTGCTCTCATTTAAAACAAGTAGAGCATAAGTAAATTCAACTATCTGATACCCCGATTAACTCATCGCTCAAGCAACTACGGCAACTACAGTGAAATGGACCTCCGCCTCTGCTAAGTACATGGCGGCAGCAGCTACTTATATGAGGATGACATGAATCATTCTAAGGAACCCCCATGACAGCATATGGAATCTCAAAGGATGCTTTATTCATTGAATGCTTACCATTCAACAGACAGCTGTTTAAAATCCAACATAAAGGTTGTGATAAACTTTTAAGTAGATATGCACATCTTGCAGATGAGAGACGTTATTGTGTTTAGATATCACAACACCAGATAATTTAATCAAAACATAATTTGTTGTTTAACTTTTCATTTTATATCATGCTCCAGTAACCCTCCATTTCATTAACAAAACATTTATCCCTACATAGATTACAAAAACACTCTCGACTGCATACAATAGAGAAAGAAAAGGACTACAAAACCAATATATACAAACAAGAAATAAAAAAAAAAAAAATCAGATTATTAAAGAGTGAGGCAGAGAAAGAGCTAACCAGCCTGAGCTGGCGGTGGAGGCTTGGAGGGAAGCCTGGGCGCTGCAGCCGCCTTGTTCTGCAATTGTGGACCCTTTGCTGCCGCCGCCGGTTTACCCGACGAACCCGAGGTTTTCTTCGGCTCGGCCTTCTCAGGCTGAGCAGCAATCAGCAGCGACAGATCATCCGTATCGTTATCGCCCAGCAAATCAAACGGATTAAGCGTCGCCATTATCAACCTCAACAGCACCAAACTGTGGCTCTCAGATTATTCGTACACAAACCGCTAAATTAACTCTGTAATCGCCATTACGTTCATCATAATCGGCAGATCTGTGAACTGTAAATGGATAACTAAAGGTGTAGGGAAGCTGAGGATAGAGAACGAAACCCTAGCCGCAACACACAGTGAAGAGTGAGGTTTATCTCATTATCTGAAAGCTTACACGATTAGGATATTTATTTTTGCTTTATATATGCATACAAAACTGTATTTTCTACCAGAAATGATACGGACAAGTGTACTGGGCTGGTCGAGCTGTTTCCCGTTTCCCGTATTGGGCTTTAAGTAAGTGGGATTAGTGCTTGTCAGTCCAACTTTGGGCTTTATTGAGTTTTTTGCCACATTAGTTTGAGTCTTTAAAAAAAAAAAAATCACTCGACTATACAAATTTTTCGAAGCGATTTCGAAAAGTTCAGTCATAAAGGGTCAAACTCCGTATGAGATTCTTTACGGCTCTGCTCCTCTCTTGTCTTATTTGCGTATTTTTTGTTGCCTTTGCTATGCTCA